CTAACTTACATGGATTAACCAACATATATATGATATGTATGTAAAAAAATAGTTCTGGGTGGATTTTTTCATTCCTCATATATCAATCACTATTAAAACAGTACTTCAGATATTCATTTGATAATTATATCACCAACGTTCCCGTTTGTTTTCAGTGGGTATGATAATGAAGAAACTGAAGCATCTAAAAGAAATCGTAGATATATATAAGTTATTCTCAAATCAGTCATTTATTTAAAGAAAACATGCCCCTGAATACAAATAAAAAGAAATTTTCAGGAAATAACAGAAATGAAAGTAGGTTTTTTAGTTTCATCTGTGAATTGGACAAAAATAATAATAATTGGAGCCAAGCAGAAATTGAAACGGATCATTCAATAGCTCAACCATGTCTAGACAGTAATTTTGTGTAATTGTTTGTAGTTTTGACGGTTTTGGCACTTGAAAATAAATGAATGTTTTTAAACCACTCAAAAATGATACCTTACAAAGAATTCATTCGATAAAAACCATGTAAATACTAACCTAATATGAATGAATTTCCTGGATGTGATTCTACATCTAATTTTAAAATAAAAAAAAAATCTTTCGGTCAAACTTTCAATAAACTTTCAATTTCTAGAAATGAGGTAAACGTCCATGGTTAAAGCACCAAGTGAAGAAGTACTGTTTGATAAATTTCATTCTCACGAAGTATGGTACCAAAAGCTTGAAAACACTGCAATACAAACGTTTTATAGTATTCAAAGAACAAGAGTGTAAAATGTATTCGGAGAGACCTAATTACTAATTTGATCCTGAATGAATAAACCAGCAAGTATGTATCCTACAGGAATTAAGGTGAATTATTATTAGACCATTAGCAAACTAAATCGTATTATATGTACCTGCAAACAAAGGTACATGAATTTACATGAATTCACTTTTAACTCTATCGAGTACCCACCTGCTGGTTTTATCATACAGCTGGTTTCAACAAATTAAATTTTCAATTTGATAAGTCTGTAAAAACACTATACTTACAACATTTTTTTTTACCCTCAACAGAGGATACAGAAAATTGAATATCAAAAGAGTTCATTCGCAGGTAGTTCCATCAATTTTATATTCATCAAAAATCACTTCAATTTTGGTGTTAACAATATACGATGAATGTTTTCGAAGAAAAGTCACGCTAAACTGAATTTTTTATATGACTATCATTCACTTCACTCAAAGTTCTTGGCCTTTGCTTCCCTATAGGCGCATTTAGCCAGCTCGATTCGGATGGTTACAGCTTGGTCTGATTGTGAATCATGCTGTAATCCAAGACTTCTGTTTTCTTAATTAGATTTGATGTTTACTGGTCCGTTATCTCTTCTCGTGCTAGATAAGGATAAGTGACAGA